GGTGTTACGAATTTCTGCTGGGAGGCTGTTCCACAGTGTAGGTGCAGCCACTTGGAATGATCGGTCACCCAAAGTGGTTGATGTTTTTGTTCCCGGTTTCTCAAGCAACAGTTCAGTAGATGATCGTAGATTGTATCTGGATGCAACCTTGAATTTGATGAGTTCAGAAATATATTCAGGAGTGAGACCATTAATTGCCTTATAAGTGATAAGTAATATTTTAAAGTTAATTCTGTATCTAACAGGTAACCAGTGTAGTTTATACAGCGCAGAGGCGATGTAATCAAATCGATTAACATTACAAATCAGTTTTGCTGCGGAGTTCTGTACTCGTTGTAGTTTGTATATCTGATTGGTGGGCAGACCATACAAGAGACTGTTACAGTGGTCGAGTCGACTCGTAACAAAAGTGTTAATAAGAATTTGTGTAGTATCAAAGCTGAGAAATTTTCTGATACGTCTGATATTAAATAGATGGAAAAATGCTGCTTTACAGCATTTATTAATGTGTAAGTCCATTTTCAGTTGCGAATCGAACCAGGAGCCGAGATTCCTTACTACGCTAGATGGTTTGATAATTTCGTCTTCGATGCACAGTGAACCAACACTTACTTTTGCCAACTGTTGCCTTGTTCTGATGATGATGATGAACTCCGTTTTATCATCATTTAACTTCAGTTTGTCTGCTGACATAAATTTCTTGATGTCTGTGATGCAATCTTGCATTGCCTTAATGGCAGTGGATTGCTCGATCATAGAGGCAGGTTTGAGTGAAATGTATAATTGCGAGTCATCTGCAAATGCATGAACATCTGCTAGGTGGCCTTTCAAGAATAGTAAACAGTTTGCTTGCATAGATGACAAACAAGACAAGAGCCTTGCGGAACACCATACTTCATTTCAAATGATCTGGATTCACCACCGTTGATAGAAATACATTGAGATCTGTTCTCGAGGTATGATTTAAACCAAGTTAGTACACAACCTGTCATACCAAAGCTAGAGCATAGTCGATTCAGCAGGATCGTATGGTCAACAGTATCGAATGCTACACTCAAATCAAGCAGTACCAAAAGAGTTACATGTTGTTTATTCATGTTCATCAAGATGTCATTTTTCACACGTAGAAGAGCAGTTTCAGTACTATGATATTTGGCGGTAGGAAGATTGAGCTTTAGGGTAAAGTTTGTGAGCGGTAAGGTGGTCATGGGTTTGATTAAAGACAGCTCGTTCCGTGAGTTTGGAAACAAATGAAAGGTTGCTGATGGGACGAAGATTATCAAATATAACCTCAGCTTTTGACTTCTTTAAGCCTGGGTGAACTTTAGCCAACTTCCAGTTCTCAGGGAAACATCCGGATTGCAGGGACAAGTTTATCATTCTTGTAATTACCGGCAGAAGTACATCCAGGCAGTGGACCACAAGATGAGTGGGCATGGGGTCCAAAGAGCATGATTTTTTGCTTGAGTTTGAGATAATCTGGTTAACATCATCCTCAGTTAATGTCTTGAACGAGTCCAGTTGAACATTAGGCATGATCTGTGGTTCACTTGTAGGGTTGTGATAGGTGGCTGCACTGTCAAGTTCTTGTCTAATGCACTCGGTTTTGTTGGCGAAGAAGTCACCTATATCATTCGCAAGGACTGTATTATCGCTGCATTCTGGAAAATGCAAATCAGTTTCTTGATTAAAAAGAAATTTGGCAGACTTGAACAGTTTACGATGATCGCTGCTATTCTCTTGTATGAAGGTGGTGTAGTACTCATTACATGCACGTTTCATTACAAAAGTGGCTTGATTTTTCTTTGATTTATAAACAAGGAGGTCACCATACAGTTTAGTCCATCTCCATTTCCTTTCGGCTCGTCTTCGTGCTCTTTTCACTAACTTGACTTCCTCATTAAACCAAGGAATGGTCGGTCTTTTTACAACTGTTTTGTGATTCACAGGTGCATGTCGATCCAATTATGATGGCAATGTATGGTTATAGCAGTCAACAAGATCATTGAGCTCCATAGAAAGCATGCTCTTGCAGAGATCGTGATGAGGCTTGTTAACTAGAAGGTTACAATGAACGGGCATATGATCTGAAAATAGAGTATTGAAAAGATCGGAGTTCTGCAGCGGATTCTCTGTTAACAGTCAAATTATCCCTGAACAGCACTCCAGTGCCACCACTATGCTGGCCGGATCGTGGGTGGTCCAAGAGTTCATAGCCTATGGGCGTACAGAGGGACCTAGCAGCAGTTTCATGTTCATGAAACCAGGTTTCAGTTAAAGCAACAATATCAGGTTGATGATCACATATGAAATCGGTAAACTCAGTGGCTTTATTGTTAAGTGATAGAGTATTCATAAGACAAAAGCTAAGGTTTTTGAAGTTGTTAGGTAAAAGCAAACTATTATTAATATTGACGCTGATACAGTTGATTGGGCTCCGAAATACATTCCAATGCCGATATAAATTCATTCTTTCAGTAATACGCATGGGAATACTTAAATTAGTGGCAGAACTTCTCGTCTGTTCTATTACTGATTGTTGAGTTTTAGGTTGAAAACTTTCCCATCCTGGGTTTTGTTAGACATAACCAGATAGTAATAACAATCTTCTTGTCGCAGTTGAATTTGAATAATACATAGCTCTAGATTTAGATAGCTTTCGTTTCTTAAATTCATTAAGCGAAACCGGCCCAATTAAAAACAAATCCAGACCTGTACGTATGCAAATCTGGGCACGATTAGCTTGGCTGAAACACCGTCGTAAAACCAAAGGGCCAGACATAAATTTGTTGTATTTCTTGCTCATTTCCAAAATATTGTTTATCAAAAACATATTCCTCCAACAAGCAACTGTTGGAGGAATATGTTAATTCACTGTTAAAAGCGACAGTTCTCGAACTAGCTAACATAGTAAAATAGACTAATAGCGTCCTATCCCATTCTGCATGGTTAAGTAACTTGTAAAAGTCGACCAGTAAACTCGGAAATTCCAGCTTAATTTCATAACCTTCCCCTTCAAACACAATATCTGTTGAAGCAGAAGCTTCTCCTGACAAGGAACAGCCAAATCCAACAACCTCAGGACCAAAAGACAAGAAAATGCATACAAAAAACAAGGAGCTCAAAAACATACGTCCGTACACGATTGATTTACTCCTTGAATGACTCCTTGAATTTACTACTTCCTTGAATGATCAACAAAAGCCGATGCTCGAAGGTGCCATTGCTCGTCAGAAAACACCGGAAGGAAACAACAAACCACTCCATCAACTGAAGAAAGCGGAGTTACAGAACAAGTGGAACAGTGGAAAGATTTACGAGGGTGATACAGTGATGATATGAAGAGTTGCTGACTGATGAACTTCATGGAGTGAAAAGAGTCCCCCCCCCCTTCTCTACCAAAATCCACCCTCTACATCAACCTCGTTCCCAGGCTCTTTGCTCTTGGGAAGCAAAGACCCTGGTCGGAGCTGGTTATGTGAACCCCCAGATTTTGGGGGTAAATTGAATTTGATCTCAGGGAGGGGTAGTAGAGTAGTCTGTTTGTTGTGTTTGGAAAATTGCAACTTTTAATATGTGTTATAATTTCGGGTGATAAAAATGTAATTTGCAACAAGAGATTGTGAAAGGAACTGTTCTAAATTCGTACCGATCATGACTAGACTTCCTGCTAATACTGAATGTCATCAATAATAAGTGTTGCGTTACATTTCAAGCGAGAAGCTGGATCATATTTCACTTGCAAGGAAAACACTCCACACGCGCCTGGCTTGCGAAGTTTAGCACGTATTGCCGTAGAAACATACATATCTTCTACACAGACTGATCGATCAAACGGTATTAAACGAACGATATGGTTCTTTATAGTTGAAGTGTATCCTGTCCGATATTCAAAACAAAAGATTTATTTTATAACGGGATCCTTTGTCTTTGATTTCCCAAACATCGCCAACATGCATGTGTAAACAATAGTGCTATTCTGACTGTAAAAGCACAGGATTAAAACCCGTTATGGACTGGCTATAAAATTAATTTCATTTACATTGCTGAAACTCAACGATCAAGAAAGATAATGTCGAAGTGTAGCTAGCTATCTGTTATCACACAAACGCCAAGACTCCTCCGTGCGTTTCCGTGCGTGCGGTACAACTTGAATATCTAGGACGATATATGCACCAGACACTGGTATTGTACTTTATATAAATTATTTCATATTTTGTATGTACAGTAATTTGCAACATGTATAATATTAGACCTTTCATTGACATTGGCATTGTCCATTGAGGGCTTTATTGAAGAATAATCCAGCTTCTTTAGACTTGTATAATGGATTAATGCCGCTGTGAGTTATCAATATTTAAATCAACTTTAATCTTTATCGTATACTGTAATCGACATTTTAGAAGTCTAGTCTGTGTTACCAAACAATACTTGAGGCAAACAACCTATCTATCAATGGAAACTTTAAAAGGTTTGTTACAGTAAAACTCATTAATATAAGCGAGACTTCGTGTGCATATAGCCTACAGTTTATGAATTATGTATATCCCTGATAAAACGTAGGACACTTTATACCAGATATAATAAAAAATACTTTGCTAAACCTTTTCGGCTGTCATTCCTTTGCATTTAAGGGGAGAGGGTAAATGGCGATAGAATTTATAGGAGATGCTGTGCAATATTTTGGCTTCAACAAACAGGTACTCGTGCAGATCGACAAAAAAGGAAATTCATGCAGTTGTGAATTGTCGTATGTCAGCTGTGCACTGTCGATTTCAAACAATTTTGTACGTTATATTTTGTCTTCCTGGTGTTTAATATAAATGATGATAACCTTTTAAAAAAAATCTAGAGCAATATGTCTATAAACAGTTTTAGAATCAATAGAATGGACATTCAATGTGTATTTGGCTTGTGTCCAAATGTGTCACGTTTAAGACCGGCAAGGCGCTAATCCTACGACCTATAAACAGTTGCTTTTGAGACATCTGTTTAACAAAATTTATGCCAATGCCATGTCCATATCAGAACAATTCATTGGCATATTATAAGCATATTATAAATATCAGGGCCAGAACAGAAACGTATGCGTGAAATAAAACTACTCCCGAACCGGCGAACCCCGAGAAAATAAAAATATTTCAAAGCGTACAGTCATACGTTCTCGTTGCTTCATTTCCTGAATTTTCTGTTGCTATAAGAATCTGCATTTTAGCATGTTTGTATAATTTAAAAGCAAACGGAAACCAATTTAGCAAGTAGTTTGAGGTATATATGATTCTTGAAGATGAATTAATGATTGTACAGAACGGCCACTCATTGCAATCGAAGTGCGGAAGTGGAAACATGTAATATGAGACTTTTCCATCCCCCTCTTGGGCTATCAATTTTCAATGGGCCATGTGACCAGCTCCGACCAGGGTCTTTGCTTCCCAAGAGCAAAGAGCCTGGGAACGAGGTTGCCTCTACATTGGCTTTGATAAACAGTGACAAGTATGAGATATTGCCATTTGAGCCATTGCATGTTGGAAAACACGTTGAAAACATTCTATTTGAGCTGCCCATGCATATTTCCCCAGAAGAAGCCACATTATTAATGAAACAATTTAACATAGTCTTGGTAATAAAGAAACCAAGCGATGTTGATTACCAATGTGCTCTTGTTACAATAACTAATCAGAAAAATTAGTAAGGCTTCAGCAAAGGTACAGAAACTGTTGCAGACTTTGGTTGAGATACTTGTACATGTGAAAAGAGTCGTTCACCTCGAAGTGTCCTAAGATCCATAATCTTACATGGCAGCATGCATTTCTCTGTTGGCAAGTTATTGTTACCATACAAAGAAGAGGAGTTGCCGCAAATTTTCTGGTGTTTATTTTCACAAAATATCAGCCTATGCTGCTTATACAGAATCACCTCATAAGTGGGAAATCATGTTATGCAGAAGAACAATAAGGGGTCTTCAATTCTGTGACCAACATCACCCAATCCACATCTTCAAAACGACCAGGACATATTATTGGGAATGTTTTTCTTTGCATCCAAGCAGAAACGAAAATGAGTGCATACCATTCAGATATACTGTTACCAAGCAGCAAGCTCATATTTCAATATTGGCTAAGTCTCTTCCTCCTCTTGGCAACACAGTTGTTGCCTTACAAAGAAACTGGACTGGGAGCGAAACAAGATGGACACTACTCGAATTGATATTATTTTCTTATTCGACTATATTTTTGCCTACTCTTCTATTATGGCCGAAATTAAAACAACACAGAAGCAATTAGAAGAAATTTTTGATAAGAAACTTACCTCGTATGGGAAGATAAAATATTACAGAACTCCGTGAGTATTTGCAGTAGAAATACGAAAATAACACCACAAAAATCGGCTTGAAAAGTTCTATGAAATCGAACAATGTAAAATAGCCATAAATAATAAACTAGCCATACTCAAACAACGTAAACTAACCATACCATACTATATACAATATACTCGAAGAATGTAAACAATGCATCACTAAGCCATACCTTTCGCCGAATATAACTTCGGCCCAGCCTGGACCTTTCCTCAAAAAGAAGGAAGAGCCTGGGAACGAAGTTGGGGGAATTTCGTTCTCGACCAATCAGCTCTTTTGTTTACATTTTTGCCCTAAGCCAATCAGAATGCGTAAAATGCGTCATCACATGAAATTTTTAAACAAAGCTATGGGGTTACTTCAGAGTTTTGCTGCAAGAGGTTTTTGTGTTTTCCCATGAAATTGATATATGTTGTTCTTTGCCTTG